TCAACTCACAGAATATGGACTGGGTCAGTTTGCAGACCTGGGGTTCCCCAGAGACAGAGGCTTCCCTACCTCGGAAAGTCACTTTGGCGATCCGGTCACTTCTGCCTCGCAGCTCTGAGACGGTCTTGAGGTGGACGATCAGGGCCATACTGGCAGGGAGAGCCTGGGCAGTGCCAGGCAGAGCAGCAGGAAGGAGCAAGCTGGTTGAGTGCGGCTCACACACCTCCCTCTTCTCCGGCTGCTGCCGCCTCCTCCTGATGCTGCCCACAGAGACCAAGGCAACCACAGCGAGCTGCTTCTTCAGCTCAGCAGAGCTGTGCAGCCCTGCCAGCCCCGCCCCTCTGAGTTGTCAGCCCAGCATGTGTGTAGCGTGTGTGTGTGTGTGTGTGTGTCTTGTACACCCAGCCAGTGGCTTGGAAATGCACGCTGAATTCATTATTCAGCAGCACCAGCCCCTAGATAAAGGTCTGCCCAGCTTCAGGTATCTTCTCTCAGCTCCTGGAATGGAAGCTCCTGCCACTTGGAGGATGGAAGATCTATGTCACTAAGACCCAACAGATTGCAGCAGGCATGGGGATGGGGTGGGTGTGGGATCAGGGCACCTCTTTTCATGGGGATCAGGAACTTCATGATCTGGGCTTTGATTGGTACACAGGTGTTTTGGGGAGTCCTATGGTGGCTCCTGTTTTGTCTAGCTAATCACAAGGGTTGTGGGTGCTCAGAGGGCTTGGGGAACATGGACAGGAAAGCCTGGCAACCCAGATGGATCATGCTGTGTTACTTAGAAAAGCCTCCCTCATCCAGGGGCAATGAAGATGCCTCCGTCGGTAGAGTATCTGCCACAAGAGCGTGAGGACCTGAGTTTAGATTCTGGCATTTGTCTTAGAAATGGGTGCAATGGCATGGGCTTCTAGCCCAGGTCTGGGGTAAGGGAAGGGTGAAGATAGGAGAATCCCTGGAGTTTAATGGCCACCTGGCCTTCTCTGAATGTATAAGCTTCAGGTTCAGTAAAGAGACCTGTCTTTAAATAAATAAGGTAGACAGTGACCAAGGAAGACAGCGGAGGTTGCCTTCAGGCTTTCATGCATAAACACAAACACCTGCATATGCCTACATGGATGCATACATACCACACACACACACACACACTCCTAGAGTCTGGAGACACACACTCATCTAGAGTCTGTATACACACACACACTCACCTAGAGTCTGCACACACACACATCCATACATACCCACCATACATTCACCCAGAGTCTGGACCCAGGCACACTACACTCACCTAGTCTGCACACACACACACACACACACACACACACACACACACCATACATTCACCCAGAGTCTGGACCCAGGCACACTACACTCACCTAGAGTCTGTACACACACACACACACACACACACACACACACACACACACACCTAGAGTCTGGAGAAACATACACTCATGTAGAGTCTGCACACACACACACACACACACTCACACTCACACACCTAGAGTCTGGAAAGCAGTTTCTATAAGGCAGCTTAGAAAATGCTCCCCGGGGCTGGTCCCTATGAAATACAAACACTAGAAGTAGCAATGTACTGACCACCTGGCCCTGTACTGTTTGTGCCCCGGGGATGCAGGTTTCTCTGGTTTCTGGTGCTCTGCCCTGGGATTATGGTTTGAATTTCAGGCAGCTGGTCTTGAAATAGAGATCATCACTGGAGGTAACCTACTAGGAAGCCACAGGAATTCTTCTTTGTAGGGCAGGGTGTAAGACTCAGGACTCCAACCACCGGCATCCTCGGCTGGGTACAAAGAACAGGGTATCCTGTAATAGAAGTCTAACTAATACGAACAGGGCTCAGAAGCTCAGTGTCCTGTCAAAAAGTCTACAGGCGGGGCTGGAGGGATGGCTCAGTGGTTAAGAGTGCTGACTGTTCTTCCAGAGGACCTGGGTTCAATTCCCAGTACCCACATGGCAGCTCACAGCTGTCTGAAGATCCAGTTCCAGGGTATCTGACAACTTCACGTCAATGCACATAAAATAAAAGTTAAATAAACCACAAAAAAGTCTACAGGCTTTGGGCTGATAGACTGGCTCAGCAGGTGAGGGCTCCTATCGCCCCAACCTGATGACCTGAGTTTGATTCCTGGACCTGTACAGTAAGAGAGGATCAACTGGTCTTCTGGCTTCCAGATGTGAGCTGTATCAATGGTCTGCCCTGCACACACACACACACACACACACACACACACACACACACACACACACAGAGACCATGTGTCCTCTCCACATAGATGATAAATAAATAAATGTAATAAAAGGGTTTGTAAGTCTAAGGGAGAAACACTAACTTTCATGCACCGTAATAGAGTTACCTCTTCAAAGCGGAGCTACCCCAGTGGAGTAACCTACAGATACCCAAGAGCCTCCGTTTCTTCTAATCGTCCCCTTGATCTTTACCCGTTTCTCTGTGTGTTCATTTTCTCCTTCTCCCTCCCCAGTTCTGCTCACCTTTTCCACACTATTCTGAGTAAGAAAATTCTTAGAAAATGCAGATACTGAGTAAAAGCAAATATCTAAAAATTTTAAAGACCAAGTTTAATGTCCCTTTAAAATTAATTATACAGATCCATCTTTGTAAGGCTCGGTGGTACTTAGCAGACCCCTGCTTCCCAAGGGTCCCCTGGTTGTGTTTCGCTATAAAGGATGAATTTTAGGGAGCCCTTTGCAGCCCTGTGCATGTTGAGGGGGAAGTCCTTCAAAGCTGCCCTAGGAACTGTCACCAAACCTCAGTTTTCCCATTGGTAAGATGACAGCAGTTCCAATTAGCATAGCTTATCTCCACCAGCTGACCATTCCAAAAACTACCCCAGATATACCAGGTCAGAGTTCATGCAAAAAAAAAAAAAAAAAAAAACCAGAAGGTCCAGAGCAGCACAGGGGTGATGTGTCCATGAACAGGACCAACTGGGATGCCACTGATGGGGAGGAGGTGAGCGCATCACCTTGTAGAGTTGGAGTCATTGGGAAGTCTTCCTGTTGTATGTCACATCAGATCTACAGGGCACCTTTTAAAAACAGCTTCACTGGCTGGGCAGCGGTGGCACACATCTATTAATCCCAACACTTGGGGGGGGGAGAGGCAGGCAGATCTCATGTTTGAGGCCATCCTGATCTACAAAGTGAGTTCCAAGACAGCCAAGTCTGTTAAAGAGAGAAACCCTATGAAAAACAAATCAAAACAACTTTATCAAATGTTTTCTTTGTGCAGCAATGTCCCCCAGGAGACTCAGGAAACTGCAGGTAGAACTCCACTGACTTGGCAACCACTCACCCATCTCTGGCTTCTTTGCCACAATAGGTTTTAGTTGTTCTGATTTTTTTTTTGAGCGTGTGCCTCTTGGAAACATGACAGGCTGGCATCTGTTAGAGGGTATCTTTGGCATGTTCTCATTGCAGTGGCATCCTGACTTCATTAGTGTTTGTGTCTTCATCAGCTGCCATCTACAGAGCCAGCTGAGCAGGTGACACTTCTCCCAGGCTGAGGAGAGAAGAGATCGACTTGGGGATGGTTAACATTGACTGGCTACTTGATGGGACCTAGACTTGCCTCTGGAAAAGCCTTATGGAGAGAGACAGTTTATGTAAAGCAAATCTTATGTGAATTTTAGAGCTTTGATGACTAAAGGAAAACCCAACCTGTAGGGGTAGCCCCAGCCAATCACCTTGCTTGTAGGGGTCGCCTGAGGATATTTTTTACTAATAAATATTGCTGGTGTGCTCTCCCCCGCCCCCTTCTGCTGTCCTGTTCTCCGCTGGAACCACAGGTTCTGTGTGTCTTTCCCTAATTAAAGCTGAATATATTCTTTTTTTTTTTAATATTTATTTATTTATTTATTATGTATACAATATTCTGTCTGTGTGTATGCCTGCAGGCCAGAAGAGGGCACCAGACCCCATTACAGATGGTTGTGAGCCACCATGTGGTTGCTGGGAATTGAACTCAGGACCTTTGGAAGAGCAGACAATGCTCTTAACCTCTGAGCCATCTCTCCAGCCCCTGAATATATTCTTATAATTTCTGTCTGCCTTCATTTACGCCGCTACACCAACCCTGAAGATTCCTGCCCAGAATGAACTGAGACAAATCGAAACCACACACTTCAGTATTTACTTCCACATCACCCTAACAAAATAATGGACCGAAACAACTTAACAGAGCCAGGCTTTATTTTAGACAACAGTTTCAACCTAGCCTAGTGGGGAGGCAAGGAAGAACAGCTCTATTCACAGCTCAGTGATGAGAAAACAGAGAGAGGCCAGAACCAGGGGCCCCTAGTACTCACTCCTGCCAGGAACCATCTCTTATAAGAAAAGCAAAACCCACCGGGGAACAAGGCTCAAGACAGGAGCTGGTGAGGGATATTCTAGACTCAAATTCTAACATCCACACTCTCCCTCTCCTTCCCCGTCCTTCCTCTGCTCCTGTCAGGGTCTGGCCAAGTTGCCTAGGCTACCCTCAAATTAGCAATCCTCCTGCCTCAGCCTCTGAAGATGGGATTACAGGTACAAATCACCAAACACAGCTCACCCTGTGTGAGAAACGTGGGAAAGGAAGCTCAAAGGGATACAGTGAGAGTAATGAAGAAATGAATGCAGAACTCTGAAATGACGGGGTTGGGAAACCACACACTTAGTGACGGCCCATCATAGAGCCATTTCTTGGAGCCTCAAAGACGGAGGGAGCCCTGAATGTCCAAACTGAATCACTGAGAACCGCTTCAGGAGTGACCTAGACTTTTCACTTCCGCACCAAATGTGAGCACCGTAGATATGAACACCTAGGCTGGATGTCAGGAAGACTTGGGGGAGCCACACAGAAAACTTGTGGGGATGGTGGGCGAGAGAGGCCGTCTAGGGAGCACACTGCCGAGGACTCACTGTCCCAGAACGAACTCAGGTTGCCAGGCACATGGTTGCCGGGTGACCAGCTGGCTGTTTACCGCAGGGCTGAGCCGAGCCACAGCGCTGGGGCTCGCAGCACCCACCATGGCCTCCCGTAGCGCGGGCACACTATTGACCGAATTCAATGCCGCCTTCGTGCCCCCCGCCCTCATGCCCGGGTAAGTCGCCAGGCACCCTGGCACACCTGAACTTTCCTGTCAGAGCCCTCCTCCTCCCCACTGCACACACCTCCAGGACGCCGATGCTCCGCCCTCCCAATCTGGGGGACTTCAAGGAACCCCACCTGGCCACTTTTCCTTCTTGGCTTTCATGACTTTTCTGCTATAACAACAGGCAGGCAGGTGATGGGACTGGAGAAGTTGATGGCTGAGAATTAGCCCCGGGATGATGCCATCTGCTATGGATGGGGCCAGAGTGAGGAAGAAAAGATGAAAATGTGCGTGTTTGGAGCAGCAGAGGGCCAATGTAAGGAGGAGTAGGAGGGCATGCTGGGTTTTCCAGGAAGATGAGTATTTATGAATTGAAGGCGGAGCTGAGGCTGGGTGGGCATGGCTGGCAGAGCCTGGCAGGGCAGTATTTGACAGTTGGTAGAATACACTATCCACCTGACTTTTACACATACTCTCTTCTGCAAACTGAGCAAACCCCCAGCCTCAACAGAACACAGCCTATTCTGCATAAAATTTGAATTGTTTTCCAGAAGATGCAACAAGGCACCGTCGATTTTAGAGACAATACACGCTGAAGTAGCTGCAACCGGAGGCTGGGGCTCTAGTTTCCATCCGGCCTGTCTGTGGACGGGGCCTTTCTCTGGCGTTCAGTCAGCTCAAAAGCTGCTCTGACTGCCGCCAGACAGAGGTGGTTTTACAAAAGCATGGTAGTTTCCCAAAGGCAAGCCAGGAGTGTTGATCAGCTCACCTTGGAGCTCGCCTGTTCATTCTTTCTTCACTTGGAAAAGATGTTGGGTACTCATGGGGCATTGCTGGGCATTCTAGGATCCTGGGAAAACAGACAGATAAGGGGAGAGGTTACTCTTGAGGGGTTCCAGCCTGCTATTTAGATTTTCTTTTCTTTGGATTTTGAGATAGGGTCTCATGAAGTTACCTAGACAGACCTTGCGCTCGTGAGGTAGGCTAGGCTGTCCTTGAACTTTTGATGCTCCTGTCTCAGTCTCCTGAGTGCTGGCATTAGAAGCCTATGGCACCAGGCCTGGCTCTCATATAAATACATAAGGTTTAGTTCAAATCCATCTTTGTGGCCATAGTTAGCAGTGGTTTTGCCATATTCTGGGTGTCTGTCATGAGGTATGACTTGATACATTGATACTTTATTTTTCTTAAGCTTCCACAGGCTTATATTGGAAGAGCCTCTGCCATCAGACCTCTTGGTTCTTTGTTGCCTGCTGAGCAAGACCTGGGGTGTCCGCGGCCCTGCCCCACAATTCCCTCACGCTGGAAGCTGTGGGAGCTGTAATCTCAGGGCAACCCCCACAGTGCCTCTCTTAGCATACTGCTCATCTACAGTTCCCTTGAAGCCACATCCTATCCCATGATGCCTTTAGAAAGAGTCATGACGAGTGGCCATAAAGGAGGCTTCAGTAGCCTGGACTAGGCTGAGCAGCTGAGACCATGTCTGCTGCTTTCTTGTCAAGATCTTGCTGGGAGAGGGGGTGCTTTCATTAAAGGTCCCCATGAACCAGGAACGAAGTAAGCCATCTGGTGTTTCTACACCTCGCTGGCAATTCTGTTAACTTAATGAAGGAATCCAGGATCCCCTACCTCGCCTGGATAATTATTTTTTTCCTGTTCTTTTTCAAACATTAATCACGGATTTTAAAGAACAGCCAGTCTCTCTCGGACACTCAAATCAACTCCTTTGTAGTTTTATCCACAGGCAGAGAATATTGGGTTGGCGAGGACCACACAGCTCTCATAGCCCACATTCTTGGTGTTTCACATATGGCCATGGGGACCAATGCATGATCTCTAAGAGCTGGGATGGAGCCAGGTCTCTGGTACCTGGCAGTAACACAGTAAATCCTCAGCTGTGTGCCAGGCTCACACTGTGATATGTCCATTCCAAGCCCCTCTATGGTAAGGTCTCTAAGGCCCAGTGTGATGGCTCAATGGGTAAAGGAACTTGATGATTCAATTTCAATCCCTGGGACCCACGTGGTGGCAGGAGAAGAGAACATACTCCTGACAGTTCTTCTCTGACCTCTGCACACTGGCCATGACACACACAGCACCATCCCCCCAAAATTAATAAGTAAAAAAGTTTTCATAGCCACCAAAAGAAGGAATGAGCTTCTTGCCCAGGGCCACTCCACGCACCTTCATGACTTTAATGTTCTGCTTTATCCCAATATCTACCTGAACCGTCCTGGAGTCCATCACAGGCCCCATTGACTGGGCAGGGAGGGAACAGAGTAGAAGGTGAGAGAGAGATGCTGGAGTCAGCCAGCTGGGGCTTGAATGGGCCCTTATCATTCCATCACCTTGGGGAAGTCTTTATCCCCACTCTGTTCTACTTACCTTATCTATTAATGAAGACGTGTGTGCAAGTTAGAGGAAAGTAAATCAATGCGCACAGAGCCCTGCTCTAGGTAGCTGTTATCTATTGCTGTTCCGTCACAACACTGCTGTGTTCAATGCCTGAAGATACAGGGGGCAGCACCTGATGAGAAGGGTGATCACGATCATGATGATGGTGGTGATGATGACAGTGTTCAGATGGCTGTCGAGATGGCCTGTTTTGTTTCTTGCTGTTTCAAAGTAGCACATTGTCCAGACACCTTCTGTATATTGTAGATGCTATCTGTATGTACCTGGCTTAGGTGCCACACTGTACTGGGCAGAGAACTCTTGGTTCACAGGCCCTGGGACCATAAACCTTTTGAAGGGTTAAGACCAGCTCCTGTGAGGGCCTGCCCTCTGCCGCAGGTCAGGTGTGGCCCTTCACCTCCACCAGCATGCCTAGGCTCTCTGTACGTTCATTCATGCCCAACCTTCTTCTTGAAGCTCACTCCAGAGAGGAAAGCATGGGTTTGTAGCATTCTCCTGGATCTGTGTCAGAAGCCCTCCAGGTAGCTAGTTTCAAGATGTCACCATGGTGGCTCTAAGCCTGAGAAGGTGTGAGATAACACACCACCACATGGGACATCGACTTTCAGCAATTTCAGTTTCCCAAGGTCAACTCAGTCTGAAAATAAGAATAGAAGCTTCCAGGGACAAATGATTCATAAGCTTTAAATAATTTTTATTAGTGTATTGTTGCAATTATCTCATTACACCATTAGTTATTGCTAATCTCTAGTTAAACTTTATCATAAGCCCATATGTATAAAAAGAAAGTGAATACAGAGAGTTGAATAACTGGAGATTTTTGGACAGATAAATTCTCCTGGAAGAGGAGGCTTGTCTGTGTCTGCACTGTAAAACCCCATAGATAAAAACTAGCGAACACAGATGATATACTCTGTGTTGATTGTTTGCACACTTATTATCTTAGTTTTCATACCATTTGTTTAATTACAACTTTAAATAACTCAATTTTTTTACACTGGTGATTTATTCACTTGTTTTTTAAAACTAGCCTTTTAAGCACAGATACATAGCTGAAGTTTTTGCAGCCACTCATTTGAGGCCAAGTTAAGCAAGTGCTAGCAACCATAACCTCATCTGCCAGCTCCCTGGGGCCTATGGCTTCTGGGATGAGAGAGAAGGTGGAACAGAGTGGATGGGGTTGGGCAGGGCTCAAGGCAGGCCTAGCACATGGAGATGCTGCCTCCAAGATGGGCCAGTCCATCGTGGAGTATGAAACAGCAGCTATCTCAACTAGATGTGGGCCTTCATGTTAGATGTGAGAGCTTTTGTTTGTATCCTTCCTTGGGCCACGCATCAAGGTAAAGGTAATGACGCGTTCCCTGGTGATTCCAGAGTGAGGGACCTTGGTGAAAGGGCAGGCCCCAGCCTAAGCATCTTTTTAAAAGGGATTCTCCCAGCGTGCAACCTTCTGACAGCTCAGCCTTAGGTTGCGAGGTCTGACTAAGGCCAGTGGGCAGCTACCTTCTGTGATTCTCTCATCTCAGCTACATGCATAGTTGGCACACAGGCAGACATCAGACTCTGAAACCCCACTCTCCTCCTCTGGACTCTGCCCTTCAGGGAGTCCCGTCCCCGTGGAAGCCTGGTCTCATTTGCTGTGGTCCTCCGGGAAGCCATTTTACCTGTCTTCTCTCAGCACCTCTGCCCAAGGCCATCTCCTCCTTAGATCTCAGCCCTGAGCTGATTTGAGGTGTTTCTTAGGTAACCGGTGCCTCTCCACCTGCTGGGACATTAAGGAGCCACGAGAACAGAGCATCTGGAGCCTGGAAACCCAGACTATGTTTCAGAGGTTCTCCTCCTTTCCTAGAGAAAGATGGGCTCTCTACAACAAGCCCCCGCTTGTCGATTCAGTCCTGTAAACACAGAGCACCTTAGGGTAGGAACGGCAGGAGCACAGATAGGAACAGTGGAAGGGCTCAGGCCATTTCAAATACAATAGAATGTGGACAGGCCAAGGAATAGACAGCTGAACAGTGGGTGAGCAGGGCCTTGGAATCAATCATCCGAGGCTTCCTGGACAGGAGAGTACTTGGGTTGGGAATTTAGTTCAATGATAGAGCACTTGCCTAGTGTGCATGAGGCCCCAGGTTCAATTCATAGCACTGTTTAAGAAAAAGAGTGTACTTGGCATCTCCTGGAATGGCAGATACAATCGTGGAGGAGGAAGAGGAGGGAGGGGAGGGAGGGGAGGGAGGGAAGGGAGGGAGAGGAGGGGAAAGAACCCTCTGGATGAAAGGGTGGCACCTTCTGGATGAAAGGGGGAGGGAACCCTCTGGATGGAGGGGATGGTACCCTCTGGATGGCGGGGAGGGCTTGAGCAAAAGCAAGGGCTGGAGGTTCTGTGTTCTCAAAGCAGTAGTCTAGTTGGCTAGAATGTGAAAGCTTCTATAAGAAAGTTAAGAACAAGATTGGCAAAATTCCTCACACAGGCCCACAGCTAGGGACACCCCCTCCCACAAGCTGGCCTGCTTTCTTCTTAATTCCATAGGCAGTGGGGAGCCCTCACAGGTTCTGCCAGGGGATGGGGCAGGGTGGGAGGACGCCTTCAGCTC